ACACAAACCAGTTGGCATGAGTGCATGTCAACAGACAGGTGCGAGGCTGTAACTAAACCTTCTACATCCCTACGGGGATGCCTGCAAGTGTGTGTGTGTGTGTGTGTGTGTGGGGGTACTTTTTTGATAAGGCCGCTACTTTTTTGTCATGAGTCCCCTGGCTTTGCCAGTGTTGTTTTGATTGGATCCAGCCTTTTTGCAAATGTGTTTTTCTCAGGCGTGCCTGTATAGGACCAAAGGGAATCGCTTGTGCAGGCTTTGTGCGCCCAGTAAGATGCTTGTCAATGAGCCTTCCGGAGTGTGGGGGGAAGGATCACCTCCATGAACGTCAGCTTACCTGACTGCCAGCTAAGCTTGGCCTTGTACCCCTGAGTGATGATCGGTTCGGTCAACTGCTTGCGCGCTTGCCAAGTTGATTGACCAGCCCACCGGCCTCTGCCAGTCTACCACGGCTGGCAAGTCTGTGTTCAGCCTTGCTAGATTTGGGTAAGGGACAGCATCCCAGGTCACGAGACCTTTTGCATAAGGTAGTTGTGTGCAATGTGTGCAGTGGGTAGGGGTCAGGCCACTGGGTCTCTAGAACGCAGGAGGATTGACCTGCTGGGCCAGATAGACACAACCGAATGTCGTCTGCTGCCGTCTGCTGTTCCTACTCACCTGCATCAGGCATTACCACAGCCGGACGTCCTCAGCCAGACCCCGGCGTTGCAGAATTTGGATGACACCTCCAGGAAGAGGTGGCGCTTAGGTGTGAACGATTCAGTTCAGGATGCAGCTTTGACGCAGCGGATCTCGGCCGAACGTGCAAGCTGCAATGCCTCTGCAAGACAGTAGCATGAGGTGGCAATGCGATACCCGATACGCTAAAGATGATGCTGATCGTCATTCACAAATTGTAATGGAACTGAATGCAGGCAGGATTTTATTACGTTACCCATCGTAATTCTATCGGGGCTTAAAGATTCGAGCTGCTCAGCTGAGGCTAGCAAAAGGTATCAGCAGCAACAGTAATGGTTCAGATTCCCGTGGACTCAGAGGCGACCAAGTACTAGACACATTCATTTATGTTAGATGGCACCAGGCTCACCCACGACGGTGCTGAAGAGCTCCTGAAGGATGCTTGGTGGCAGAAAGCATGAACCAACGAAGCTTCACGTTCTCATGCGTTCACTGACAGGCAAAATCAATATAAGTCACGTCAGCTATGGTTTGTCACTGGGCACCAGCATCACAAGCCATTCAAGTGCAGGAGCTGGAGCTTGCATACTCCGAGCCCAACTTCAGAGAGCAGGCCTAATTCCACTTGACTACGGGAGTGCCCGGTTGATCGCGGATCACATGGGAAGCTGATTCAGAGGGAAGAGTTCTTGAATCACGTGGTAGCCCTCAGATGGCCGAATCTTTTTGTGTCGGACTGGTAAAGGGCTGGATGAGCGGAGTCCTTCCTCCGTTTCTGGAAGCTCTCTTCGTCGTGTGTGCATGTGTGCCGTCCTTGTGGATCAAGCAGTCTCAACTAATCTTACCTCTCACTTTACCATCCGACCTTTTTGCAGGATGTCACCTTTCCGTGCAGGCATGATGATGCAAGCGCTTTTCTTGAGTGCCGTTTTGGCAGAGGAGATTTGCCAGACCAGTGACGCCGCTCAAGGCAGGCATGCATGACATACTTGGGGTGAGTAGCAGTAGAAGGTGTGTTCGTGTTTTATCGGGGTCGCTGGCCGCTGTCAGGCCGGGGGCTTCTGCAGCGAGCCCTGCAGAAGGACGCCGTGGTTGGAACAGCATCCACAAATCTCACTGGATGCGGAATGGGCCTGGGCGGTACCTGCGCAACAAATACCGATTGGCACCATCAGCTGGCTACATTTTTGCCCGGTGAGGGTGCAAACTACTTCATGACGTTCATGAAAGTATGGGAAGACTTGAGTTCAGCCCATGGGTACACATTTTGTATCGGAGATCGGCCTGAGTCGTGGATCGTAGGCAACGAGTACGGGGCAAGCAACGCGCTCTACGACTCCCACCAAGGCCTTACATATTTGCGCAACTTCTTTCTTTCGCCGACTAGCAGCGAGACGTGGGGCACCATCGGCCTCTGGACTACCTTCATGTGTCCGTCCGGCACCAAGGCGGACCAGTACACGGAGTTGAAGATGGGATTTGCTTTCAACACATGTGGACCTTCAAAGGTGAACTTCATGATGTCAATCAGCCCCGATGCATTTGAATGCTTTGCTGATAAGCTCGTTCCTGTACTAAGCCGCGTGGTGGGCATGGTGCCGGAGTTCACTTTTGGAATCTCAGTAGACAAGAAATTCTCCAAAAATGTGAAGCTTGCGCATGGTGATGGCGACAGCATCAGAGTCGACGACATCAACATGGCAGCACATTTGGGCCTCAGCGTTACTGTGCGCATTTCCATTGGTAAGCTGATTGGTGCCCAGGACACGCTTGGTGACGTTTTAGCAGGAGATCTGCAAGCGCAGGTGGCTGCAGCTTACGATGCAGACCTTATCAACCCACTGAAGGCCATTGCATCTGCTAATGTAGCAGACATCTTACCAGACTTGCTTGGAGGCTATGTATCAGCAAACTATTTGGGTCCATCAGTAGCAGCAACAGCTTTACGCGCAGCGGGGGCCAATTCAAATGTTGTCAGCTTGGTGGAGAACTTGCAGACAGCCACCTTCATGCTTGTCTTGAATGGCTACGTTACTCTGGCGCTATCAGGACTCGACGCATCAGAGTTTCACTTGTTTCCCCCAACAGATTGGCAGGATCCGAATTGACCTTGCTCAGCCTCTTGTAAGTTGTTTGCATGGAGCCTCTGAGAGGACCTACAATGGGCATCCTGCCAGACATGTCGTTTCAATTGCAACTTGACCGCAAGCATTTCCGGGGCTCCGAGAACTAATCATCCTGCGCCAATGAGAGAGATTGCTCAAACATAGATTCCCATCTTTTTTTACTCGCATGTTGCTTTGATTGCCATTGCAAGGTTCTCAGCGGCTGCCATGCTGCGGACTGGGCCTGCGAAAGCTAGCGCAGACGACAGCGCTGCCACATCCCACCTGCCTGGACTTTACTTCTATCTCACATCAGACATGGGAGGTTTCGTGGAGTCCATTGTCAGGGGACCCCAATATAGACCCCCAAAATACTAAAATCCTTAAAAAGGTACCCCTAATTTTGGGAAACCCTAAACCCTAAATAGTAGTTTGCATTTTTTCCATTATCCCTCTATGACCCCTATATTACCCCTATATAACCCCCGTAAAAGGTACCCCCTAATTTTGGGAAACCCCTAAACCCCTAAACCTTAAACCCTAAATTATTGTGACCCCCTAAAAAGGTACCCCGAATTTTGGGAAAGTCCCATATGAACCCCTATATATCCCTATATAACCCTATAACCCCCTATCAAGGGTACCCCTAATATTGGGAAATATATCTCACAGCTGTTGACATGGGAGGTTTCGTGGAGTCCATTGTCAGCACAGTTTTGGGCCAGATTCTGGGATTGATGTTTAAGGGACCTTAAAGTAAGTTACCATAATGGGTATATAGGGTTTAGGGTTTAGGGTGGAACTTAAATTAGGTTACTAGATTATCCCCCTATAATGGAGAATCAAATGGAAAAGAAAATGGAAAATGGAATGGAAACTGGGATTATATGGGGATCCCAATGAACTTAAATTAAGTTACCATAATGGGTATATATATATAGTAGATAATAGGGTTTCCCCAATATAGTAACTTAATTTAAGTTCCTTAACATCAACCCAGTAAAGGGTAGAGGGCTCCTTAATAGCCTCTCTGGAGCTCGCAGGTGCCAAGGGATCCCCTATGTTGAGAAGGTTGTGGGGCCTACCTAGACCCTCCAATGTAGTTCCTTTTTGGGTTTAGGGTTTTGGGTTTTGGGTCTTGAAATAATTGGATATGGCTGCCTTTTGGATATTGAACCAATCGAGATTACTTAGGATATTTGGATAAAGAATTCCAAGCCCACCCCTAATTCATTATTGGGTGGCCGCGTTAACCGTAGTCTTGCCCTTTTCAAAAGTGTTCTTCCTTGGCCCTGAGTTTGTTATGCAATATTATCTGGACATAGAAATAAGATATAAGGGGAAGAGATTAGTTATTGAATCCCCCTACATATGACCCAACACCAAAAGTACAAAAGCATTCCTACGGGCCTGGCAGCTCTAGAGCACTTGAGTTGAAGTCTTGCTGTTCCTTTCTTGTCTCGCGCTCCTTTCCTGGAAAAACCCTAAAACCTTGAGGGTGTACAAGCCAGTTGACAGGATGACAAAGGTCAAGATGGACAACTACAAAGCCTAGGTTTAGGGTTTAATGGTTTAGGGGTTTGGGCCTTCTTCACAGCAAGCTTGGCTTTGAAGGAAGAAGTAGGTCAATGCAAACCGCTGGAAGGTACGGAATTCAATGGAGCTAAATACCAGTTGTTGACAAAGCGCCATGAATAGATTGCAGCTCCATGCGGCTCAGCTACAGGCAGCAACCACTGTTAGTCCCTAAACCTTTAACTGTTTGGATGTCAGCCTTGAAGCCAGAACCTTTACCAAGCCCTCCATATCATCAATGCCATTCAGGGCCTTGAACAGAAGGGTTTAGGGTTTAGGGCAACCTCCTCTTCAAGTGAAATTCCCCCCTGGTAAGATGCTTCTTTGGTGTTTCCTTGCATCTTGTCAGTGGGGAGTGAAAGAACGGATCCATTGAACAATTGTTGCCAAATTCCCCCTGCAGCCTCAATAGACTAAACTCCTTATGAATCCTCCGAATGAGCACATTGATATAAAGGTTTCTAAGCCCATCCATCCCTTCATAAAATCATGCACGATTATGTGCGCACTAGCTGAGGTTTCCGCCTTTCTTAGCTGCTGCGTTCTGGTGGTCCAGGCCTAGGAGCCCTTGTATGGGTTCCCTTGCTATCCCCTCGTCGGGTTGGGTTCCCGTGCTATCCCCTCGTACTACCGCCCTTAGTTCCCCCATAGTTAGGATTTAGGGTTATTAGCCTTGATGGTCTTAAGTGTCATTTGATAGCCTTGAATAAGAGAGAAAGTTCAACCCCAAAGCCTCAACTCTGGGCTCGGGGTCCTAAGGAAAGCCATGATCTTTGTGTCTTAGATTTTGGGATCTCGAGTTAGGGTTCAGCGTTTGGGGTTGAGGTGTTGGGGCTTAGGGTATCCTTGTTAAACATTGTTAAACCCTGAACCGCAAGTTAAGCCTTGCTATTAACTTCTTTGTTTTTGGTACACTGGGCAGACAGCGGACATCAACTTTCAACAGCCAGATGACGGAATACCCTGTTTAGGGTTTAGGGCCTGCATAGGGACCCAAGGAGCCAGAGACAAATACGTAATTGTTGTCCAAACAAGAACTCCTCATATAACGATCCTCATCTACAAAGCTTGGCTGTTCTTTGGTAAGCAACACCCTTTTTCTTGCTTGTCTGGATTCTGAGGATTTCGCTAAACCGAAGCCCTGAATCAGCAGCATGTCTAGGAAGGCTTCGGTGCCCCGAGAAAATGTCTAAGGGGTAGAAAATTCCAAGGGGGTCCTTTTCGAGAGTCCCTATACTGGTGTTTTAGGGAATCTGAGAAGGACCATAGTTTGCACACAAGCTTGACGGCGCAGGTACGCTAAGAGAGAATTGACAACTGATACGAACCTGGTAGGGACCACGATAATCTCTTCTTGTTATCCGTACTTCCCTGGGGTGCCGCTCTAGTGCACCTGCTTCTTGATAAACCGTCATGTCAGAAAACCAGGCGTCTCGAAAGGTTCAATCTCGGGATATCCAGGGATAGGGACATCTAAGGTTTAGGGATCAGTGTTTAGGTCGTAAAAGAATTAAGGGTCCTTTCTTGGGAGCACATATAATCAGGGGTTATAGTATCTTGGGATGCGCACGTACAATGTTAAGTAAGGACCCCCCCCAAATGCTTTCATAATCCCGAAATCTTGTGCCAGGAATAGGAAGGGAGTCATATTGAAGGACCCTTAAAGACGATGTTGCCTACTGGCCCAAAATCCGGGCAAAGTCAGCCCCCAACTCCTTAAACCCGAAACAGGAAACCCTAAATTCTACATCCAAACCCTAACCCTGCATGAAGCCCAAACCCTAACTCTGCGAAACCTACCACTTAGTATCCCCAATGTATTGTAATCACCGCTACGGGGGCTATGTTGCAAGATTTCTTCTTTTCGCTTGATCAGGCGTTCTTTATTTAATTCGCCGAGATAATCAGGAACATAGGAGGAGAGTACAGCAGG